AAAGAATTTGGTAAAACCATACCACCTTTTGTTGCTTCATTTGTTTTAAGTATGCCTTCGCTACTAAATCTTGCATTCTTTTATAATAGTCATTCTAAACTATACTCAGCTGAAGCACCTCCGGGGAAGCGTCCGAGAGTTGTTTGTTGTGGGGGGTAGAGCCCATCCACTAGATCTTCTGTATCATAATCCGTGTGTTTACGTTTATTAGCCAAGTAATCAAGAGTTTCCACTATACTCATATAATGTATCGCCACAAAGTTTGTTACTTAAGCTACGACCTCGGTCCGTGCAATAAAATAATACCATCGCGCATTTGTCTCTGCTCGATGATTGTGGTTTGACTTCCCATTTGACCGTGATGTTTTTCGTGGTAGTGCGACTAGCTACAAATGACTGCTTGTCTCCCCTACACTTATTCAACTTAATAAGCTTATTTTCATTGACATATTACTAGGCAAGTTACATATGAATAGAAGAGGGCAATGAAAATATACTTGAAAAAGCTAGCTAATATTGTGTAAAGTTACATTTGTAATTTAGCCACTACTTTAGAGAGAGGCGTGAAGTGCATCTGCATTTCTGAAGAAACATTGGTCATTTATTCCCTGTAGAATGCCTATTGAATGGTTTCCGTTACTGTATAGTTTAATCAATGAACAATGAACAATGAATTTATACGGGTTAAGAAGCGTTGCTTTACAAGCCCCGTTGGATAGTTGGTGGGGATATCAACATAATAATTATGATGAAAAGGATAGTAAAATAGTTAACACTTTAAATACGAAAATAAGGACTTATCGTTTGCTTCGCTGCAGTCCTGCGATCCACTTAGATTCACAACACCCACAGTTAACAACAAATAATTCCAGGGTAAACTCCAGGTGTAGGATGGAGACATAGTGTTAAGTAACAAAGTGTAAGTGGATGAGTGCATCGTCCAACCGTCTTTTAAATATTGTTAGTGTCGGTGCAGAGACGACCGATTCTGGGAGAGCATTCCACGGGTGACAGACACGGATGGAAAAGAAATTTCTGCGGCACTCCAGACGACTGTATTGTTCTGCGAGTTTTAATGAGTGGCCCCTCAGGTTTGTATTGCTGCTGAGTTGCAGTACAGGGCGGCACACATGATGTGGGTCTCGCAGAATCAAGTATGTCATAATCAGGTCGCCTCGTAGCCTGCGATAGCTTCCACTGAACAATCCTAGTCGTCGCAGCCTCTCCTGGTAGGACAGATTGCGCATTCCAGTTACGTTCTTAGATGCCCGGCGTTGAGGCTGCTCCAGTGCGTTAAGGTCGTGTTTCAGCCATGGATGCCAGGCTTGAATTGCGTATTCGACGTGGGGGCGAACATACGCACTAAGCATTTGTCGAAATATGGAGCTGTTTATTTGTCCAAATGCCCGCCTCAACAGCCCAACGTGTTGATTCCCGGTCTTCGAGGCCTTTTCCGATTGCCTGGAGCAACCCAAGTCATCTTGAACCAGGACACCCAAGTCACGTTCGAGAGTTGATTGTTGCAGTACATCCGTTCCGAGTCGGTATGAGTAGCTGCCCTGATGTCGGATGGAAAGCACCTTGCATTTACTGACGTTGAAATGCAATAAGTTTTGGATCGACCATTGATACACTGTATCTAAGTCACTTTGGAGCACATGTTGGTCGGCGTTCGCCTGGATCCTGCGCCAGATCTTGATATCGTCGGCAAACATTAGGAAGTTTGAAGCGATTCCCTGTGCAAGGTCATTAATAAACACCAGAAACAAACGTGGACCTAGAACCGAGCCTTGCGGCACACCACACTCGACTTGTATGGGGTCCGATAAAGAGCTCCGAACTCTGACCACTAATTGCCTTTGAAATAGAAAGTTGGCGATCCAGCTTAAAAGAGGGTCTCCGATCCCGTAATGCTGTAGCTTGGATAGTAGTATCCGATGGTCTAGACGATCGAAAGCCTTGGAAAAATCCAGGTAGATCACATCAACACCTTCTCCAGCGTCGGCTGCCTCGGTCCAACTACTGCGTGCAATTAGTAAATTAGTTGTACATGACCGCTGTCGACGGAAACCGTGCTGTTCAGGAGTGATGAGGTTGCAGTTTTCCAGATAGCACACCAGTGCATCGGCAACTATAGATTCCATGACCTTGGATAGTATAGGAAGAAGGGTTACTGGGCGGTAGTTGGAGGGATCAGATCTGCTTCCACCTTTGTGAATCGGGGTTATTATTCCAAGCTTCCACATGGCGGGAACTTGGTTCTTGTCTAAGCAGTGCTGGAAAAACTGAGCTAAATGTCCTGCCAGTTGGTTTGCTGCTACTCCCAATGCCTCAGGACGAATGGCGTCGACACCCGGCGAGCTGTGTTTGCGTAGAGAGGTCAGCTTTTGCAATACAGCCTCTGCGGTAAAACTGACGTGGGTTAGTCCTGGTGAGCAGAAGACAAAGCTTGGTAGATCGCTTGGTGGCAAGACCGTTTGAAACGTGGGGGCGTATTGCATCTGCAGCGCGTTTGCAGCTTCCATAGACGTGCTTGTTGGGCCATCAGCCGTCTTGAGTGGAGGAAATCCTTGCCTCACCTTTCGTAGGCTATTAACGTGCTTGTACAGCAGTTTGTGGTTAGCACTGAAGGTTTTTGCGATGTTCTGCTGATAGGCGGCTTTGTCTTCTCTTAACAGTTGGGTGCAGTGGTTACGTTGGGCTACGTAGTTGTCCCACGTTTCTGGTGCTGGAGCTTCTCTGTACACTCGCCATGCTGCGTTGCGTACTGTCATCCATTTTCGGGTTCTGCTCCTAACGAAAGAAACGGATTTGCACTTATTGTAAGCTTTTATCTCTGAAGCCTGTGCAATCAGCTGACTGAATGTGTTGACGAACTCGAGCCAGGCGACTTCTGGGGGTTCTTCTTCGAGGAAAGACCATGTTGTGGCGCTGACTAGCTGGGAGAGTCGGTCGTACCTTGTGATGGTTCGCACAGTGTCATCTTTATCATTCCGATATTCTGCATAGCAGACGAAGTTGAAACTGATCACTGCGTGATCACTGCGACCCAACGGGCAGTCTAAAACCAACGCATCAATCATATGCTCCTCGTTGGTAAGCACAAGATCCAACACAGATGGCCTGTTACCAGTTCTGAACCGAGTGGGCAAAGTGATGTGGTTGTAAAGAGGAGCAGTAGTTACTAGATCTTGTAAATCGGTTTTGAATTGTTCGCCGGTTGTGGCAGGGGCTTCTAAACAATGTACGTTGAAATCACCCATGATAAGAATGTGAGTGTACTTCGGTTGTAAACTGCACCTTAAAGCAGCCATTAGGTGGTAGTCGGTTTCGGGTGTTGAGTTAGGGGCGCGGTACACCAAGATAATAAGGCAAGCGTCCCTGCCTTTTAACTGCAACCGGCACCAAAGAGAGTCGGGGAACTGCGAATCTGAATCCTCCACGGCTTCGCACTGTAAGTCGTTTCGGTAGTACAGGATTACCCCTCCTCCTTTTGTGAGCCTATCGTTCCGGATCAGCGACATGCCGGGTAGCGACACTTCAGCGTCCGTCATTCCCGTGTGCAACCATGTCTCGGTGATACCAATGACATCATACGAGCCGGAAGCTTGGCGATCTTTCAGTTCAGCCAGTTTGTTAGAAAGTCCCTGAGCATTTGTATACAAGCAGGCCAGTTTCTCGGTCTCTAGGAGCCCGCAGAGAGGTGAAGCTGTCAAGTGTGGGAGAATGCCGACCGATGGGAGGTCGGCAGTTATTCGTTTTTTTGATGGGTCAATGATACCTCGTTTGCAACTTGATTCGGCCAAGGTGCGTCCCAGCCTTCGTTTAGACCTACTTCAGAGTCAATTAAAGCAGCAGTCAAGTTACACTTCTGTACACTCGTCAGGATGCTTGCTGCTTCAGTTGCTTTAATACTTGAGCTGTGCGAATTGTTTGCGACCTTTAACCGAATTTCGGAAGGAAGATGTTTCCGATTTCTTCGCCATCGATCCAAAACATCCTTTGCTTGTTGCTCTGACTGAACCACAAGTTTTAGGATTCTAGGGCCGCATCCTCTATAATTCGATGAGAGAGGTATCCTGGTGAGCGATAGTGCCACAACATCATCCAAAGAAAGTGTTTCACGAATGAACCGCCACTGTTCTAAATCGTGCTTTCCGGTCTCTTGAACATGGTTAGAAGGATGTTCTGGCACTCCATGTATGAAGACTGTGTTTAGGCGGTCTTGCTTGCTGTGCCCCTCTTCGGTGTTTCGTTTTGGTTGTCGCGCGCTCCAAGGGACATCAGGATAGATACGTATCGCACAGGATTCGTGTTTTAGCGCGCTTGCGGAGAGCAAAACATTTTCCACGTCGGTTGAGGATTCTAGAGTTACTCGAATAAGCCTGGGTTCACCATAGTGTGGCGAGTTCGGATGACGAGTAATTCGTAACAAGTTTACGGGCTTGGCTTTGATACTCATCTGCATACACAATGAGTTCCATTGGTCTTGGTCGTCTGATAACTTATCCCGCAATGTGATGGCGGTAGATTCAGGGACATTTGAGCATACAACAGTCCGGGCACTGTTGTTGGCTCCCTTTTTAATCGATCTACAAGGTATGGTACTCATTTGTCTTGACTTGTTGACAAGTGATTGTTTGCTGTTTTTCTCTCCATTTGCGTTAACGGTGTTTACAATGGAAGAGGACGCAACGGCGGCCTCTCGGTGGACCCTTGCAGAAATCTCTGCATATGTAACCGATGTTCTGGGAGGCTTAGTCTCGACAAGAGATATTTGAGCTACAGGTACCAAGGGTTGGTGTTTGGCTGCTCCATCCTTGTTAATACTAGATATCAGGTCTAGTGGAATATGCTTAACCAGACGTTTTGAATGGTGCCTGATTTTCTTTGCTGTGAGTACTGCTTGATTCACGTAGGTACAGTCTGTTTTCGCCCGGCGTTCTACCAAAGTTGGAGAAGACAACGGAGATGGAGACATGGCTGATTGCGGTGCAGGCGAATCGATTTGTTCAGCATTCCGTTGCTTAGCAGCCGCTACGCTTCTGTGGTCCATACTCGCTCCCATTGAAGTAATCTCATTGTTTATCCTCTGCTCTGCTTCTGCGATTAACCGGTCGCATTTCTCAGCTAGGATAAGCAAGCACTTAACGAGGGGGATGGTGGAACACGCAGTACAGAACCAAAATGCATCTTGGGAGCTATTTCGCTCCCGTAACTGTTGTTGGGACACATTTGCACATTTCGTATGGTACCATTCCAAACAGTGCGAACAAGCTAGACCGATTTTTACTACCCGATGACATTCTCCTAACCCGCAAATGCCTTTCGATGGGAGTCTCTTCGGTTTCGCCTTTCTGCCATTCAGTTTGCTGTCGTTACCTGGCCCAGTGAGTTGGTTAGCGTTCTGTACTTTTACAGCTTTGAGAGCGGCGCACATCGGTCAGGCGAGCGTGGTGGTTGCAAGGTCAAATGAGCGGTCGGCGTGGTCGCGCGGTCCGTGTGATGGGTAATGCAGCCGCACTGGCTGACAAGGTCACAAGGAATGGCGAGTGACTGCAACCTGAACAGAGCGCTGAACACAGATTCTTTCACAGCTGTGTTGAGAAACACTGGATCGGAGTAAGCTTAGGCTTTTCGGCCTGCCTCGAGAATTCTGTATCGAATGGTGTCACACAGAATGGCAATCGGCTCAATACGATTGAATTAAACGCTTGCGCTTAATCACAGATGCCAGTGAAAACGCTTATTGATGGCACAGCCTCTAATCGTAGAAGATATTTCCACGTATGATGGATCACTGTGTAGAGCTGGTAAATCCGGTTCGAATGAGCGTACAGTGACAACGCTGCGAGAAGATGGAGAGAGGATAGAGGGAAATAATCCAAATGAACCAGTAGCACACTGTCATGGAGTGCAGTTGTTTCAGGCGGGCAACACCCAAAAGACACATTATTTTCTCATGCCTACTAAATGCGTGTGGTAATTTTGCTACGGTTGTTTACAGACTTCAACTAATAGTGTGCAATTAATGGGCCCTACGAAATCATAAAATCTTATTGCTTAAGTGCCATGTGTTCACCATCTTATGTAACTGTTACAATGGAATTCGATTGTGCTCCGCGTGTTACCTCAGCTGGAGCATGAGCTTGAGCATGATCAAAATCAAATCCAACCCGTTTTGGCCTCAATGCCAAATACACATATTTTAAAGCCAATATTTTGATTGGAATACTTCCGGAGAAATGCAATGAACTCTGCTAGTGTGACGTAACTGCGCGTCAGTACTCTCCAGAGTGATAAAAATAAGCTCCAATTTGCCAAAATCTGTCAAGTTTCGGATCTAACCAATACAGTCTAGATAGCTAAATATGAGGAGATCAATATGTTTTACGTTGACATGTAATCTGAGGTTGCTTTTAAACAAAGATTTGATCATTTAACTTTTTCAAATGCTTTACGTAAGCCACCGTGATTGGTATGAGTGAATTCGGCATTTGACTCTACTATGTAAAAGCCACGAATTAAAATCATGTAGGTGATTTAGATGGGCAGTTAATCCAGTGAGGTTCTTAAACTTCCGTGTATAACGCATTTAGAACTAGCTTCTCGCATATGAAAGTATTTTAACTTCAAAAGCTGAATTCCAAATCTCTGGATTTTCTTAGGAATGAGGTCACAATGAGCAGGCATTGGATGGATATTAAAACAACAGTAGTAATGACAGTTTATTCTCTTGTTTTATGCCGGTGATTCGAAAAAGGATAACCAAAGAAACACCTACAATATTAACAGGACGATTACAACTGCAACGAAGGTAAACACACATAGCAGAGCGGTACCTAAATCGCAACCATAAAACTAAGATCCCATAAAACGACTGACTGTCCGAAATGTTGCCCTATATATACATTTATTATTATCTCTGATAGAAACTATAGTTTACTTGTGTTAGATCATAAACGGCAGACGTCAAAGTAAAACGCCGATTTACTTAACTTAGCAGGATGGATTGACCGCAAGCAGCACATCTATTTTCACATTTGATTTTATTAAGATTGCTTTTTCAGCAACGATTTCCCGTTTTGCATAAAATTAATTAAGGGTTCGACAGGTGTAAACCGAATATAACTGCAAATATAACCCGCAACAAAACCTATTTAAATACGGGCCTCTTAAATGTGTCTAGTGAAGTGCCGCACACATGTTAATTAAAAGGTGCGCTAGAGCATGCATTTCATACACGTAACAGGGTTGATGGACCCAGAACTGAAGACCAATGACAAGATTTTGTCGTTTCATTAAGGAAAATATACGTTCGATGGGAAAAAGTATCGAAAAGGCAGGTTTTAGTCCGAGTGCAGGCAAATTAGGCGCCATAGTTAGATAGCTAGATGGATAGACATATTTGAAATAAATGAGAATATGCGTAGCTCGGGGTGTAGATGCGGATTTTGGGCGGTTCTCCGAGCTGACTGATTATTGTGCGGACGTTTCGTTGCCTGACTAGGCAACATCATCAGTGCGGTTGCAAAGGCCTGGTTCGCAGTGCATCGTAAGCGACTTCAATGTCCAAGTTCTTATTGATCGAGTCCTGCTTTGAATGCCAGGCTTCAATATATTTATATATATACATATATATATATATATATATATATATCAAACAGCGACGCCTAAAAATAAAATAGGATAATCCAGTTGCGCGCAAGTGTCTGTGCAGACATGCTAACGACAGCTGGGGAAAGGCGACTAGTTTTTCTGTACCCGCTACTAAGGTAAACGGGTGGGATTCACATTTGCTACAGACATTGGTGTAGTCAGAAATGTTTCATGCCGCAAGACAAGTGGTCACCCATGCAGATTTTGACCCCACCTATGCCTAAGGGCCTATGCATGAATGGGTGGTGGGTGTGCGGTGACAGATTAAGGCAATTGAAATATACTTTTATCGCAACCACAGCAGTTTACGCATATTCAACGCGACAGTGTCTAACGCTGTATGTGTACTACCCGTAAGCCATTGCAATGAGGCTGGACCTTACGTTGGTGCGATGGTTTGTGTGCCTCAGCGATCCATTGAGTCATACAGGGTGGTGCATTTTTGCACCTTCAGATCCACTCATACCAGATTGGTCAATGGTTAGAGGCCAGACAAACTCAGCCTCATGGTCCTCCAGTTTGGTGGTTGGAATAAAAGTGGTTCCTTACTCTTTAAAACGGACTCCTTGTAGCCCATCGCCAAACCTGCTGCCTTGAAGTCTGGTTTATCAACCAAAGGCTTTGGTTTAGAGGCCTAATTGTTCTCCTATCTAGGCCTGGGCAATCTGATAGTATCCTACCCATGCAATCCTAAGAATCTTTCCTCAAACAATTTCCTGATACTCTGGTCAACGCAGCGGTTAATAAACGGTGCCCTATCTACTGCATCGAGCAGGGTGGATAAGGGTATGGATGCTACTACTCAAGTCATCCCATCTTCTTATTCACCCCCTTGCACTTTTCACCTTAATCGTCCCGTTCCAGATTCAATTTTATCCCCCTGTTTTCAACCCCCAAATTCTCGGCCTTACCCCACCTTGCTTCAATAGTCACTTGTCTTTTAGTTTCAACTCACAGGTAAATGCGAGCGTCATTCTTGCCCTGTCAACACGCCCATTTCCAAGCAAGCGGTCAGGCCCAGTTCATCGGCTCCCATTTGGAACCCGCGATGCTCCTTCAGATTGGTATGCCTCAAGGTTCACACATTGCTTCAGCTTGATAAACAGGCAGATTTTTCCCGAACATTAGAGGCACTCTCGATCAGTACCTGCTGCTTATTGGAGACCCGCCGGCAAGACTATAGCTCTGTGCTCCCTCTGCAAGCCCCTTCATTGCGCCTATCTGGTGAGGATGCAGCTTCGAACACAGGTCAAGCCGGTGTTGGTATTGCCATGAGTCCAAGAGCAGAAGCTACCGTGGTTTGTTTCCAATCATTAGCCGGATGCGTGCGGTTCGACTGGCTAGCTCGTTCAAAGCTTCGAAGTCTAGTGTATCCTACAGGTGTCTATCCGTTAGCACTGCCCATGCACAGACAAACTCTAACAACGACTCCGTAAAAGACGACTTCCATCGTCAACTGAACGAGTTCCTTCGCCAAAGAAGAAGCTCGGACGCTGTTGTGCTGGCTGCGAATCTGAAAGCTCGATTTGGAAAGTTATCCACTAATGTACTGCATCTGGGCAGCTAACATGTTATAGGCTCCCGTAAGGATAACGGGGAGCGATTACTCCATTTGTGTGAGGACGCTCGCTTATTTCTTGCGCAACAAATTGCTGACACAATACCCTCTGTAGGGTGACTTGGCGCTCGCCAGCGTCGAACCAGCTATGGGCACAAATCCATCACTTTGCGGTAAGTTACTAATAGATGTGCTGTGTCCAGAACGGCCGCTCGATTTGGAGCAAATGTGTAGACACCGATCATGTACTTGTACGTGTTGACCTGCGGATGCGCTTTGGCGGACGTCCACGACGACGCTGTGAGCGCATTGACACCAGCCAACTGGCAAAGCCAGCTGATCAGATTGCCTTTCAAATTACGCTGATATGCGAGTTGAGTAAGCGCTCACTGGAGACACCTGAAGCTCACTGGTCGCATGTTCACCAGACCTTACTAACAGCAGGCAAATCCTCATGTGGTATATCTAATCTTCAAAGTTAACATTGGGTCTCTTCGCAGTCTCTGGCACCTATCAAATCTCGCAGACACATTCAGGCTGGAAGCGAACACAGTGAAACTCGCACAGAGCTCCGAGCAAAACTCCGTGCAAGCCTGAAGAGAGACCGCGAATCCTGCTTGTCTCATCATGCTTCAGAAAGGAAAATAGCCACTGCCCTTCGTAAGCATCGTAAGTTATTCCGGCTGATACGGGAAACGGGCAGAAGCAGACCTGGTGTTAGCGAAGCTACACGCGACGAAAGTGGACAGCTTATCCACAACTTGGAAACTCGCTTGGAGCGTTGGACTGAGCAGATTGATCCGCATTTTAATCGGACGGGATTGTTAGGTTTCTTGCCGGCCACTGATCGCCCGGCTCCATGGGCTGTCCCTTTGGATCCACCCTCACGCTGGGAATCCGAACTTGAGATCGGAATATTGAAGTTACATAAAGCTTCTTGACCAGATGGCCTTTCTCCAGCCCTCATCGAATTCGGGGTACCTGCTCCTGTTGATGATTTACACGGGTTACTAGTGGAACTGTGGGAGCAAGAAACTGTTCCAACCGACTTAAACTGCACCGTCATGGTCCCAATTTTTAAAGGAAGCTCACGATCGGAATGCGGCAGCCATAGCTGAATCAGTATGATCTCCATCAGCTCCAACTTGCTTGCCTCTGCCATCCGTCGCAGGCTGACTGACCTTCGTGAGAGCCAGATTCCTAAAGAACCAGCCGGGTTCCGT